AGAGAGTCTGGTGAAGGTTGGAGGAGTTTTTGTTTGTTTTGAGAATTTTCTTGTTTGCTTTGGAGAGATGGTAAAGAGGAAATTGGTTTTTCTCGGAGCATGACGATGCATACGAGTAGGGGGGCGATTAGATATATTGGGGGTACTCGTAGCATAGTATGACGGTGGAGATGTTATGTACGTACGTACGAAAGTTACAGTGATGAGATGCGGAAGAATAGGAAACTTCTACATATATTCCTTGGTTGCGAGAGGTATTTGGTGAAGGTTCAGAGAGATTCGTTGAGTGACAAAGAGTGAAGGCGTGACCAGATGCCGTGATGGTTTGACGAGCACTGGCACGCCCCCGATTAATACTATACTTNTGGCATGTATTCTCTTGTTCTAGAAATATTCCGGAAGCATGCTAGGTCAAGGTTGACCGGGACATCTACGTTGAACGTGTGTAGCTTCTGGAAGCCTCCTGGANTGTCAGGAAAATCGTGCGTCGAGACCACCAGTAGTCGGACACGGTTTGACCTTTGAATGCGATTGCAGCAACTAGTCTGCGTAGCAGTAGAAAAGAGTTCATCTCTCCTTGGCATGTATTCTCTTGTTCTAGAAATATTCCGGAAGCATGCTAGGTCGAGGTTGACCAGGACATCTACGTCAACGTGTGTAGCTTCTGGAAGCCTTCTGGAAACTTCTGGTTCCTTCTGTGGCTTCTGAAAGCCTTTCTGGAAACTTCTGGTTCCTTCTGTAAGCTTCTGGAAGCGTTCTAGATCTAGGTTGCAGTTGATACTTTTCTAGAACGTAGGAGGGCTTCTTGAAATCATTCTGGAAGCATTCTGGATCTTTCGTGTGATTGGCTTATTTGTCCGGTATTCGAGAAGAGTGGTGCAGCCCTAAACTCGCCCACCACTCTCACTCCTCTTCAGTGCCAGCAACATCTGACTCGGGAGTCAGCGATTCATAAAAACGTCTTCAAATTTCTATTCCACGTCTCTCGCGGTTGGAGCCGCACAGAGTGTGAACCTCTGAGGTAGGCTACACAGCCTACCGGCATCTGCAGCATCGTTCTGCTGCTAGTGCACAGCGAAATATACTCTGACACCATTCTGTTCCTGTCCCCCCCTACGTCGCTTCTCCCCCCTGCCAGTTCGCCGGACATCGGTCGTTTCGGTAGTCGCCCGTCCGGCGGCCTTGCCAATGCTCCCGCAAACAGTAGGCGTCGTTGTCGGATCGTGGCTTCAACGCTCTGGCATTCGACCCCCTTCAGCGTCTAGGCATGAGAGAGCTGCCGGGAGGTATCCTTCTTGCGCTTGTACCCGATAACTCGAAGGAGCAGTCGGTGGTGTATCGACCGCAGCGTCTGATAGTGGCCGCTGAGTGGTGACCATGTCATGCAGCCGTACAGCAGTGCCCCCATCGCCTCCGCCTGGAGCAGGCGGATCATAGTCGGAATGGCGCTTGCTGTCTGTCGAAGAGCTCCCGGCCATATCGCCTGAGGCACGCCCACGCTCCTCTGCTCCTGTAGTTGATCTCCCGGGTGAGGTCGCCATGTTCGTTGACGAGGCCACCGAGGTACCGGAACTCGGTCGTCTGGGCGTATTTCTGTCCCGCGGCTTCGATGGTCAGCTGTGGAGGGGGGGGGGGCTGTGATGTTGTGGTCGGCTTGTCCTTCGCGCGCATCAGGAGCGTCTCCGTCTTCTTTTCCGACGCCGTTAGCCCGAACTCAGCGAACACCTCAACGATGATGGTCATCATTCTCGCCAGTCCTTCTGCAGACCTCGATACGACGCCGGCATCATCGGCNCTTCGATCAGCTTCGCGGGGATCCCGGCCCTGGCCAGCACCTTCCGTAGCATCTCTCGGTCCACCGAATCATACGCCTTTTTAAAGTCGAAGAAGCACATGGGGAGCAGTATTTTCTTTCTCCGCCTCAGCTCCTGGAGGCGGCGCACGACGAACAGCATGTCGACAGTGGATCGCCTGGGTCGAAATCCGCACTGTTCCTCCGGGAGGATGTTGTTGGCTTCGCAGAAGGCGCTTAGACGGTTGGTAATGATCTTGATGGGGACCTTGCCTACGTGAGATAGTCGCGAAATCCCCCTGTAGTTGTTACAGTTGGACCGGTCACCCTTCTTGAACAGCACCTTGATGGTTGCATCCTTCCACTCTCGCGGAATATCTCCTACTTTCCACACGTTGACGAGGATGGTCTGGAGGTCTCCCAGGACGAAGGGTTTGTCGTCATCGATCTTGAGCGGCTCGGCAGGGAGGGAGTCATGGCCGTGCCTTCCAGTTCTTAAGTCCTTTCGTTGCCCGTGCCACCTCCTCGAGTTCTGGCGCATCTCCCAAGCGTTAAGTGTCACGTGTCGCTAGCCGCTGCGTCACTCGTTCGAATATTTATGTGTGGATTCAGGTTGGGGCATTTAGTGTTAAGTACGGTGCTGGAGAATCTCACCCACCGCTGGAGGATGTCGTCCCTGTTCCGGAGCAACACGCCGTTCTCATTCGCGACGAACTCCTGTCCCCCCGCTTAGCTCCGGCTGAGGCCCACTGATCTCTTGAGGTATTGGTACAGTCCTCGCGTGTCGCGATCTTTGTAGATTGCTTCGAATCCAGTCACATATCCGTCCAGGTGGGCAAAAATGCCCGTTTCGACTGCTGAAGCCACTCCCTTACACGCTGCTTTGAGAACCCTCCACGTTGCTGAGTTCCAGTTACCCCTCATCGCCCGGCGCGCTTCCCGACGTTTGGTAAGCGCCTGCTCCTGCGTGCTCGCGTCTCTGGGGTCTCACACCACTCTTGCGTGCGGCGTCTCCGCGGTTCCTCCCCCAGGGTCGTCCGCGCTGCTTCGAGGAGGGCATTGGTAAAGTCGGTCGCCAATTTCGCGGCGGTGGTTGTTCGCTCGTCCAGTCGTGTGTAGAGGTTGAGGAGGAACCGATTACAGTGCTTGCCCACTCGTAAGAACACCTATTTCAGCTGAGGCTCAAATCTTATTGCCGCAGCCATCGTGCGCTGAATTTCTTGTGTCGGCATGTCCTATTTTTCCCCGATGAGAATTGCACGACTTCTTTTTATCGCCATTTCCTATCTCTTCACCACCATGCAAATTGCACGATTTATTACTATCCCTATTTCTTTTTCCAGCCCTGAAGCTTTGCACTACCCGCGGGGTACATGCTTGCACGACACCCGGCGGTACTGAACTGAAAAAAAAGAAGCGCAAAGTCATTGTGCTAATATGCGTGCGGACAAAATACTCCGTATATCCCAAACGCCCTTTGAAATCGATTGGTGAAGTTGTCACAACTTGGCATGCTCTATCCCGGTTGGTCAATGTTGTGAACGTTGGGGGTTCGCGCCCTACGGCCCTGCCGGCGTGTCTGTTCACCCTCACACCCCCCCCTGCCGGCTCATTCGAATCGTCGATCGGCTCGATCAACGCCCACACTCCTACGGCTGCGTTCGCCTCGTCTACATCGTATGCATCCATCTAGAGGCATCTTCACACTGACTGGTGGAGCTTTGATCGTACGCCACTACCACACGGTAGTCGTACGTGTGGCTAGTTTGCGGGAGCGCTGCCCGGCTGATCTGCCCCAAGAACCACCCCATACCACGCCTCAAGAACACGCAACGCTTGATCAATGCGCGATCCAGCTTTTCTGGAGGAGATTCTCGAAGACGGAATCCGACCGGAAGCTCCATCACGATGATGTCATCGTCGGAGTCGACGTCATCGTCGCTGTCTAGCTGTTACAGGGGGTCTTGAACATCGCCGTGGTCATCACCTAGCAAATGAAGCGATGTGAAAAAAATTGACGAGAAAAGAGAAAAAGTCGGCGTGAGACACGCGCGTTTGAACAAGTTCACAGCCCCCCACCAGTGCATGCAAAACGAGGGTAAAAGGCGAAATACAAACCGGACCTCCACGAAGAATTCGGGATGGACTCACAGTACACACGACCTACTTGATATTTTTCTTTTCTCGTACTGATAAATCTGTAGATTGTGTCGCCCCCTCCAAATTCCGGCAGTTTGATGTCACACCAAGCTTCGAAAAGGTTTGAACTCTCATATTTGCCCAGGTCCCTGAAAACAAGAGATATGAACCCTTCCACGTGCGATTTGGAACTACCTGAGGGAGGACTACGATCTCGGCCGGGAGCGACTGGGCCAGACGAATCAAAGAGGTGTGGAGAGCCAACCGCGGTCAAACCACCCGAGAGACTACCCACAGCAGTACCGACAGCTCCTAGTTTCAGTCCTCTCGTATTTTATGCCACATGACACCTGTGTGGAGTCGCTCTCATCACCGCTGTCCCCCCAAAACTCGATCTGTGAACCCAGTCGCTTGAGCATGCGCGCCCCCGCGGCCTTGATAACGACGGCCGGCTTCTCCGGTAGCGCGGGCTGTCACGGAACAGCACAACGACAAAAACGCAAAGCAGGACGTCAGCAAGTAATAGCCGCACCGCCATTCTTAAAAAAAGGGAGCTTCAGTGTACCCTCCCACAAGGATGGCCAAGAAACGACTTTTGTGTTGGATAAAAGGGACGGCAGTGCAAAAGACAGGTACAACGACTCTTCTACCACATCACTTCTCACGCCGGCATAAACAGGCTTCTCGTAAAGTAGGGGGGTATCTTTCGCCGGTGTAGGCATTTGTGCCACCATCTGTGCAGCAGCAGCAGCAGCAGCAGCAGCAGCTTTAGCATTAGCAGCAGCAGCAAAAAGAAGCAAGCAGCACACCAACCGGCCCCACTTACTCTCTACAGCTCAAGCCACCGCGCCGATGCACAGAGATCGCCGCTAAAACCGGACTTGGTACCACAATCGCGTCGTGGACCATCACCCGGCGTCCCCAAACTTGTCGCAGCTACGTAACGCACCTCCATCCGACGGGAGCTGACAGCTCGATCCAAAGCCAAGGGGCAGACCAGATAGATCCTTTGGCTTGCCTTGCCACCTTGCTCCACCGACAGTAGACACGGGTGCCGTTGCGCAAGGCTTGAGGACCGCTGTGTTGTGAGACGGTCACGTCAGCGGCGCTCCCTACGCCGTTGCACCCGCCCCCGGGGCTGCCGTGCGCCGATCCGTTTTCGCCGACGAGTCACCCCCTGCCGCGGGCGGAGACCAGGCGTTCAGGATGGCGGAGGCCTCCGCAGA